CTTGTTCTTCTGAAATCGCATTTAATTGTTTATGTTTTAGGATATTTTCCTTTTAATATTTTCTTAGAATAATCTATTTTCTATTCAATTTGCATATGCAATCAGAGGGATTGAACAAAATTACACTGAGCTTGTGTCAATTGACCAAAGTTCGAATTCTCATGGCAACGGTCGCTAGGTGCAGTTTAGTTTGTCACACATGGTCAAAATTGGATATTGGGTGAAAAATATATGCATGAATCAATGAACAGTGTCCAACTTTTTCATGTTGTGACTTGTGAGTTATCTATAATTCAAAATGTAATTCATTCACGCATAACTTTGACACTCTGTATCCAGTCTACCTGATTCAAGTTAGATTAGAAAATTTATTCAAATAACTTCAATGTCCGTGTTTTGAATTTTACCAAAATCAGATTATACATGGTCAAAATTATGTTTTACAATCAATGATATCAGTAAAATTTTAACGTCATTTAACATTTCAATTTATTATTTATTTATTTGATCTATATTAGAGTTGGCATAAATTATTATTATTATTATTATTATTAGAGTGTTGAAATTTGACCTAGTGGCGCCGCCAAATTGAAGAGAAGGAAAGAAACAAATTGGTAGATTTTTAAAATATTAATCCGTACCTAAATCACATTATTGGCATGTGTGCACATAATTCTTCCCGCCGGAATCTCCGTTTTCCAATTAATATATTAATTACGATTATTAACAAGTCAAGCTTCTAAGACTTTTCAAATTATTGCTAATTAATCAATTAATTAATAATATTTCTTTTCAATTAATAGTTACTCAATTATTTATGTATTCATATTATTGTGGCTTTAGAATTCCAAATTAGAATCATTTATATTTTTACCAAAATTTGTCATTTATTTATAGAAAGTGTACATCATGTACTGGTGCTTCCAGGTATTTATTTAATACTGCGTCGAGTAAAATACTAAAATGTATCGAATATATGATAATTATATTTAATTTATTCGTAAATAAAATTGTAGTTGGGAAGGTAGTTGTTTTTGCATTATTGATTATAGAGCCTAAGTGGTAGATTAGTGGGAGATTAGTGGGGGTAATAATAATAATAATGCAGTATTTATTTTTTTCTAGTATTTTATAGCAGTAAAAGTCCTAAGAACAACTTAGGAGGAGGTAATTTGTTTCTCAAGAGTCAATGTTTTAATAAGTTATTTCAATGCTACATCTCGGTGAAGACTATATCGGATGTTTTTTTACTGTTGATATGTTCTGTGTATATAAATAGTAAAGATCTACCTGGCGTATTTCACCCGGTGTAGTCCAAATATCATTATTATTATTATTATTATTATTATTATTATTATTATTATTATTATTATTATTATTATTATTATTATTATTATTATTATTATTATTATTATTATTATTATTATTATTATTATTATTATTATTATTATTTAATAATTTGTTATTATGTGGTGAAATTATAATTATGTGGTTGATAGTGGATAAATGAGACATGCCACAAACTTTTAATCTTAAGAGTTATTTTTGAAGAAAAATTGTT